CTACCCAGGGGGACAGCTTGAGGCTCTGTCTCAAAAAAAAAAAAAAAAAAAAGAGTACACTGCCCTAGGAAGAACATGGGTATAAAGGCATATGCAGTGTGAGCACATCTAGGTTAGGCTTACAAGGTGGGGAGAGTGGCATCAGGTTCCAGATGGGTTGAGGCTTTATGGACAATGCTCCACCCCTGTTTACTGTGCACCAACCCGGCAGGGGTAGGAATGCTAATGGCTGGGAGTGGTGGTAAAACTGAACAGGGTGTGTACTACATACATGTCACTATATGTGTATATCTAGTTCCATGTGTGCTAGAGCATGTGTTCACAGAAATAAAAATTTGCACACCCATCTGTTTGTGGATTTAGAAAAGGAACAGTAAAAAGAAGAGAGCACAATTTTGGCTAACAAGTTAGATTTTGAGGTATGAGTATCAGCTCCTCATGCTCCCTTTATTGGATATCCCAATATTCTCCGGGTTGAAAACAGAAACTGGCTGGGGTGGCTTGGAGCTCCCCAGGTAGCATTTTATGAACTGAAGAGAAAGAGGGGAGGGCGGGTGTCTCTCCCAACACATGCCACAGTTACCAGATTAAGCCGGTTGCCTTGGTAACCTCCTCTCTGGGCAGGATTTGGGATTGTTGGTTAGAAAGGGTGAAGAATTGGGGAGTGTGATGGGCGTGGGGACTAGAAATAAAAGTAATGAGACTTTTAGAAACTAGAAGTTTAGGGAATAGGACCTGAGGACATGTCCAACTACTCAAGGATATCAGGTCAAGATTAAAGACCTTAGATCGGGGAAGGAAGTCAGCATCATATGATGGTTCTCCTAGAGCAACAGTGGTTTTCATTCTGACTGCACACTGGAATTACACAGAGCAGCTTTTCAGAAATACTGATGCCCAGGCCATATGCCAATTAAATCAGATTTCTGAGGCTTATGGTATTTTTGAAAAGCTAGCTGATTCCACTAGCCAGGGAAGAAAACCACTGCCCAAGGGACAACTCAAGTGTGCTGTAGATACTGGGAGATGACCTTGCTTTTTGTTTTTATTTTTTTGAGGCAGAGCCTCCAGCTGTTACCCTGGGTAGAGGGTTGTGGCATCACAGCTCACAGCAACCTCCTGGGCTCAAGTGATTCTCCTGCCTCCACCTCCAAGTAGCTGGGACTACAGGTGCCTGCCACAATGCCCAGCTATTTTTTGGTTGCAGCCGTCACTGCTGTTTGGTGGGCCTGGGCTGGATTTGAACCTGCCAGCTCAGGTCTATGTGGCTGGCACTGAGCCGATGACTTTGGATTTTCAAGTCTCTGCTATTCTAAGGCCTGTGTGTGGATCCTGAAGGGAGAAGGGTTAGCAGGGAACCTACACTCTATCATTTAAGAAATAAAGAAGGAAGACTGAGTGGTATGAATAAATATATGGAGATGGGGGCCAAAAAGCTTTGAGTACCCAGACCATGAGCTTTAAGAATGGGACCAGGCAGGGCTACCTAAGGCTGATCTGTCTGCCCCTTACATTCCCCTTCTTTCTGCCCACTGAGAGGTAGCCTGGGAGGGCAGAGAGAACCTGGGGGCTTTGCTGAGCTTGAGTTTCTTCTTGCTGAGCTGGTTACCAGGGCAACAGAGAGCAATGGGATCTAACCGCAGGACTGGGGAAGCAAAAGGCAGGGGTGAGGGGGAAGCATCTTATACTCTTGCCAGTAACCCACCACTGAAGCTGGCTGGCATTCTTTGCATGACCCCAGGAGACCAGGACTATAGTTACCCATCACCCTGTGGGAAAGGAGAAACAAACTGACATGACTTAAAGAGGAATTAGGGATGGGGGTCAGAAAAGGCTTGGTCCTCTGGCTATAGCAGCAGCACAGAAAGGTATAGAGGGGAGTCCCAACTGTCATTTTAAGATGCACCTTGATGCCCACCTCTCCAGTGTATGGATTTGGTGATACCAAGAACAAATGCTGGGTTTCAGGCCACATTACACTCAGTTGTTTTCCCATACCAGAGATATCCTCTACAGTAAACTTTCACTGCACTAAGGATCTGGAGGTAAGTCAATTCAAAACTGAGAATTGCCCTGTAAGCTTCAGAGGTCAAGTGGCCTGGGTAAAATGAAGCATGAGCCATAGCTGATAGCCTTTTCATTTTCCTTCCTCTTACCTGTACTAAGGTGAACAGGAGACTCTCCCTTAGACTATGGTCCTTAATAGTTCAGTGCCAGGGTCTTTACTTTTTAGTTCCTTTTTGCTTTATTTTTGAAACGAGTCTCACTCTGTGAGTCTGTTAGACTGTGATGGCATCAGCCTAGCTCACAGCAACCTCAAACTCCTAGGTTCGAAAGTTCCTCCTGCCTCAACCCCCTGAGTAGATGGGACTATACACACTCTCCACAATGTCCAGCTAACTTTTTCTTTTTCTTTTGGCTGGGGCTGGGTTTGAACCCACCACCTCTGGCATATAGAGCTAGGGCCCTATCCTTTTGAGCCACAGGCGCTGCCCCCAGCTAATTTTTCTATCTTTAGTACAGATAGGGTCTTGCTCTTGCTCAGGCTGTTCTCAAACTCCTGAGCTCATGGGATCTTCCCACCTTCACCTTCCAGAGTTCTAGGATTATAGGCTTGAGTCACTGCACTCAACCTGAGTCTTTATTTTTAAAGAAAGAGACCTATCTGCACCTTTCCTCTTGTCGGGCCTTGATCCACAGTTATACTGACATTAATGACACATTACCTTGGGAAGTTTACTTGCCAAACACAAAGGCATAAGGGACACTGGATATTTACATGAATAAGCACCATCTCATTAGTTTTTCTGTCCCTGACACTTAATTCAATGGATTGCATGATATCCTGGTATCTTTGTGGCAATGAAATTATATATGGGGAATACAGACAAAGTGGTCCCTAACCTCTGTGGCCTTCCATTTCACAAATCTGAGCTGGCACAAGTAGTAACTATAACCCTGTGGGGGAATTATGGAGTTCTTTTCTCTCCTTCCTTCCCTCCGAAATCAGGACTCATACATTTGTCTCCCAGTGGGATGTTTAAAAAAAAAAGACTCAAAACACTGGCAAGGGAGCCAAATTTATAGTCTAAATTTTATTATCTCCAAGTCACAATGCTGATCACAAATGTGCACCCTTTAAACAGTAACAAAAAACAACACACATAGAGAAATCCTTGCAACTAAACACAGTGGACCAACAGAGACAACTGTCACAGTGTCTTAAGGTCTGGGATTCTGGGCATGCTGCCCACAGGCTTGAGGAGA